GCCTGAGATTTCCTGGACATTCATTCACAGACGAGGCTCCCGCCTGAGATGAGTGAGTGAGCGAATGAGTGCGTGAGCGAGTGAAGGTTATGATGATGATAACGATGACGATGGTGATGATGATGATGGCGATGATGAGAGTGTGAGTGAGTGAGTGAATGGGCGGTGAGGTGGGTGAGTGAGTGGGTGGGTGGCTGAGTGAGTGCGTGAGTGAGTGATGATGATGAGTGTGTGTGTGTGTGAGTGGGTGAGTCGGTCAGTGAGTGTGTGCGTGTGAGAGCGTGTGAGTGGGTGAGTGGGTGGGTGAGCGAGCGGGTGTGAGTGATGATGTGTGTGAGTGGTTGAGTACATGAGTGTGCGATTAGACAATAGGGGAGAGTGTGTTCCCTTGTTCCTGCGCGGTGTGTCTAGAGAACACAAGAACCCCACTTCGGATGTGGGGAGCAAAACGGTGGTGCTGTGATACTAATGATAATGAGTGGTGAGGGGTAGTTTCGAGTGACATGAACGAATGTGGTCGAGTGAGTGTGGTGACGAGTGAGTGATGATTGACCGTGGGTGAGTGTGTGTGTGTGTGCGCGTGGGAATGGTGATTATGGTGTGATTGATTGAGTGAATGAGTGTGTGTGCGACGGGAGAAGAAGAGAGGGGTGAAGTGTGAGGTTCCTGCGCGGGGGGCGCGCAGAGAAAACAAGAACCCCACGTTGGGTGTGGAAAAACATCGGATCGACCTTGTCTCAGCTGCCTGAACTCAAAGAAAATGTTGGCGATCAAACAACGGCATCGTTGGCCAGCGTGGACCTCGAACAGTGGGTTATTGCACAGTGGATGTGCAGGCCATACAGAGTAAGCTGTGTGGTGTTAGCTATGTTGGACGAGCCTTGTGGTGTGAGCTGTGTGGCGTAGGCTATGGTGTGCCAGCTAAGAGATGTGAGCTATGGTGTATAAGCTGTGCGCTTTGAGCTGAGAGGTGTGAACTATGTTAAGAGGCGTGAGCTGTATTGCTTAAGACCTGCGGCGTGAGCTACGTACCTGCATTCTTGTGACACGATTCGGGGTCTCTTGACGCCCGCTTGGCTCCTCCATGGTTCCTCCGAGGCCCCACTGGAGCAAAGACAAAGCTTGGAAACGAAACACGTGCACGGCAACGTTTCGCTGCTGGAAGCCTTTATTGGCATCGTTCGGGGCCTCTGCTCGGGCCTTGCCGCCTTCGGGGGCCTCCCTGCGGTCATCTGGGCGCCGTTTGGTGGGCATCCGGGCCTGTCTTGGACCGTCTTGGGGGTATATAGATATGTGTGTATATGTATATATATGTATATATATATATATATATATATATATATATGTAAATAAATAAATATATATATATATGTATATATATGGGGCTGCCTCGGGCCCCGCTCGATACTCTCCTGAGTTGTCTTGGAGGCCCTCCTGGCCCGTCCTGGAGCCTCTGCCAAGCGCTCGTGGGGCTGTCTCGTGGCCGACCGGTGCGCTCCCAAGGCAATCCGAGACCGAACATGATGGTATCTCAAATCATGTCCCTTGTCAAGGGCATCGCATGAAACCTCTGGGCCGCGTGGGGCCCTCCCGTGGACTTCTCGGGGCGTCGTCGGGCAACCTTAAAGCGTAAAGCCCTACGATAAGGGGAGTGGTGGTGCGTAGCATCTGGACCTCGCAATGCCCCGCACAAGGGTTCGAAACCAATGCGAAAGCGTTGCCCCGCATGCTGGAAACAGGGAGGATGAGGAGGAGGAGGACCAGGAGGAAGGAGGAGGGGGAGGAGGAGCAGCAGCAGCAGCAACGTCAGCACCAGCAGGGCGAGGGGTAGCTCGACTAGAGGAGGTGGCCCGAGGGGGCAGGTGGTGGACCCGCAAACGTTGTCTGTTCATCTCCCGTTCCCCTCAGGGGAGCTCAACTATGAGGACAGTGGAGGGGGGATGATAATCAGGTCCGCACGACTGCACACAGCTAGAAAGCCTTAGGCAGAGTCGGATGTCGCCCATCGCCCGTGTCGGGGGGCCTTGAAACGCCTCTCACGCAGGCTCCCGCCAAAGTCGGGCATATGCGTTCCAACTCGAGTGAATGAGCCGATGCGGCCAGGATTGCGCTTGGCACTCGCAGTCGGAGCTCACTGATCATTGCTCCTCCTCCCCCTGCTCTGAGGGGCAACGACACGGGGGACTGGCTCGGGGGGAAAGGGGCAAGTCGATCTGGAAAACGGCGGTACATCGCCGGTAGATCGGCGAAAGGCCCCCGACAGCGAAACCGCACGCTGCTGGGCGGGGTGAGCTCTGGTCCCCGTCGGCGAAATTGGGGGTCGACGCGTTCCCTCCTGAGCCTCCCTCCTTCTGGCGTCGACCCTGCCCCTGCTCCTCCTCCTCCTCCTCCTCCTCCTCCTCCTCCTCCGCCTCCTCCTCCTCCTCCTCCGCCTGCTGGCCTCCTCCTCCTCCTCCTCCTCTCCTACTACTACTCATAGCCTCCTCCTCCTCCTCCTCCT